CTCATAGTGTGATGCAAAAAGTGTAAGCTTGGGGAGAATTGATCCTGTGCACGAAGGGGGGAGCGGGGGGAATATAACCTTCTCCAAGCAATACTAATACCAAAGACCTGACAGCACATGTCAGTCAGACCTTAGGAAATCTCGTCACTCTCTGTGTTTTTTGGGGCGTGCCCTGGGCTTGATGGAACAGTGAGCGATTAAGCTTTTTTACCTGTATATCTTTCTCTGTGAGCCTCACCGTCTTTTAGTTGGGAGCTGTGGATTAACGCTGAGTGATTCTGGGAGGGAAGGTGGGAGAGATCATCAGAAAAAATGGTAAAGGAAATAGATGTGTATTTAAAGAAAAGTCAAACATACTTATCTGATCATGATCTTGAGGTCCCTTCTGCAAACCTCTGGATTTATGAGTGGGTTTATATGTAGCTAAATTCTGCTCTCAGTTACATCTATGCACCCCAACTGATTGCATTGTCTGTCCCAGAATCTGGATTCCGATCTAGTATATCACTTTACTGCCCAGATAATACAGGAAGGAAGAAGTAGCAGCGTTAGCTAATTTTAGCTACATTTAAACCACATTTAATATAAATCAGTATCTGAGTGTTGCTCTTCGTATAGATATTCTATCGCAGTTGTGTGAAAACCTCAGCATAATTCTACTGTATATTTGTCTGTTTTTTAAATTTTAAAGGGCGCCTTTATTGTCCCATTGACTTTGAGTTTGATTTCAGAGCAGAGTTTGGTTTTAAAAGTGCTAAAGCCTCTTGTTTTTAATTTTCAGTTAATCCCACCTGTTCTGATATGCTGCACTTCACATTTCCATTCATATATACCCTTTGCAATCAAGGAGTTCTATTCCTGGGGTGTGGATGGAGCCTGGATTTCTCACTCTAAAAAACACGCCTGCATCTTCACGCTTATATCTTTGGACTCATGTTTATTTTGAGTGTAAGATCCATGGGGCAGTGACCATATCTTTGTCTGTCTGGCATAGGGCCAAGACTACTGGTTGTGCTTTACCAATAATAAGGGGCCAGATCCTACTCTCCTTTCAAAGTCAGAAAGGGCCCTGCCTGGGTGGGACTGATATGATTGTGCTGCACAATTGGAGCAGACTTGCAATTCTTGCTCTCCCCGAGGCTAAGTGGAACCATCCCAAGAAAGCTGAAGTTGGTGCATCATCCCGTGGGTACTTTTGATCTCCACTGACTCCCCATTCGCTTCAGAAGAGAATTCAAGGTTCTGCTCCTAATGTACCTTTGGGTTGGGGCCTGGTTCCGGCAGAGACTGCCTTTGAGACCCTCCAAGACAGCTACACTGCACAGGTATTTGAAATGCACCAGATTTCACCTCAGATGCTGGCAGGGTGGGGAAGTGGTGGTGGTAGGGCTCCACTCGGGGCTTCCTTTCTAGAAGAGATCAGGCTAAGCATGTTCAGATCCAAGTTGAAGACACACCTTTGCCTTAAAACCTTTCCCCAGGGACAATGCCTGTAATGAAAAACAAAACAGCAAAACTTCCCTGCCCATCCAAATTCTCATTCCTCTGTAACCCAGGGGAGCAGAGAGAAAAACACCATTTGTTCTGGACTCGTGCTTCAGCATAATTTTGTTCAGTGCTTAGATGCTAAGGTAATAGTGCCTTATAAATACCTTTGATGGAGAGCTGCTGCACAGGGATGATTCTGCTGATCTGTGATATGGAGGGGTGGGGAGGGGGCTATTCCTTCAGCCTCTGCAGAGAACCCCAGGCTGCTGCCTGATCACTCAGGCTGTGTGACCTTGTTCCAGCATTTGACACAATGGTTGCACCTGTTTACACCTGAAGTCAACTGTTAGAAGGGATCATTGACAGTCCCTGCATTGAGAAAGGAACAGACTAGCAATCCACTGGGATGTATATGCCGTTAACTGAATCACTGCTGATACAATATAAACATAGACTGGCTGGAATGCAGAGTAATTCTACTGACTTGAATGGAGTTGCGTCAGATTTACTATGTTCTAAATGAAAGCTGGGGCTAGCCCCCTTGTCCATTCCTACTGCAGACAGCTCCCTTAAAACCAAAAGAGCAAAGAATAAAGATGGACCACAAAGTTGGACAAAAGATCCTTTCGGTGTTTGGAACCTAAATTGCATTTTATAGTGGGCCTGGCAATTGTACTAATTTGTTGATGTTTCAGAACCCAAACTGTGAACAGAAAGCAAAACATTAATGAAATGTTTGTCAAGGAAAATCTTGACCCTTGGGGAAAAATAATCCGTGGGCTAGAACAGTTGTTGTCTTGTAGATGGTTTCTTTCACATGACTGATACGTGTCATCCAGCACCTGATTTCAATAGTTTTTTGTTTTAAAGCCATTGCACCAGGTTTAATTCCACTAAGAATTCTCCAGGGTTTTTATTCTTTGCTTTAAAATAGAGCCCAGGATCACAGCTGCACTTGGCAAGACGTACAGACGGCTAGTAATAAAACAGGCCCTGTTCTGAGGACCGTGGCATTCCAATTTTCAGTATATTGGGGAAAAATAGTCTTGTGGCTAAAGCACAGAACTAAGACTTAAAGCTGCTGAATTCTATGTCCATCTCTGACACAAACTTGCTCTATGACTCCTTTGGACAATCTCGTCCCCTGCCCAGTGCCTCAGTTTCCCCATTTGTAAAATGATAATACCCTACCTCAGCAGGGTAGAGTGAGGTTAAATGTTTTAATAGTTTCAAATTACTTTGGGATCCTCTTACAGAAGGTGTTATTTACATTGGAAATATACTTCATTATTATAAAGGGCATATACTCAGTGTGATGTTTTCACTAAATTGTGATTTAAAAAAATAAACTCTTTCTTTTACTGTGATGATTAAAGCTCCTGTAAAGAAACAGCTCTAAACTTCAACAACTCTCCACTTTCTTTACCAGAAGGACTCTAGTTTGGTCTGTTCCTATTTGCTAAGCTTGAAATTTCTTTTGGACTGTAGCCTTGGTTTCTTCTACTGCAGTAATTTTACCACAAACACGTGCTAGTTAATATTTTAAAATGCTGGTTAAAATTCACTTTACCATGGAGGTTTCCAGCTTCTTCCAGGTGTGAATTAGCAAAACAAATTTAAATATTGCCATTCTAAACTTGTCGGGAAGCGTTGTACTTCATTAATGTAAGAGCTGGAATCTGCTAGGAGGTACAAGGACAATTAAATATTAGAGAATGTCTTTGATTTACATTCCTGCTGTGTAAATGTAAGGAAGGTTGCTGTATTCTCTCTGCCTTCACTCTCACAAAATGAAAAGCACACCCAGTGCAAGTTGTCCTTTGATAGATTTTTAATATGATTTTAAAGAGTGTTGTTTGGCCTCATTCTTATTCAATGAGATTAATTTAAAGCACTTATCCCCTGGGTTTAAGTCAATCCATGTAGGATTTTGGACTGGGTTTGTTGCATGGGGGGGTTTTGTTTGCATGCTGCTCTGAGAGACTCCTTTCCCACTTCATTAACCCTGAGCTGGGGACATCCCTCCCAGCCAGAGCCGAGGATTTACCAAACCCCACCATTCAGATGCAAAGAAACAGCACCCTCCACAAAGGCAAGGGGGCTGCTTGACTTAATTAGTTGCTGTGCATTTTGCAAAATGACAACAATGCCCACATACTGTCAGGAAGAATAAAAAAACGACTAGGAACAGGGTCAGCTCTTGATCTGGTTTTCCTTAGGCCTGTGAGATACTGGGGGTTGTTTCTTCGAAGGCTTTTTTCCACTACCCCATCCTCCCCTAGAGCTCTCCAGTTGTCTATTGTTGCCATTTACATGTAGATCCCTGGCCTAGCCGGGTCCCCCCTTTCCCAGCGTCCCTTGCTGTGGTCACCACTCCTGCTGCAGGGGCTGGTTGTTCTCGATCGGCAGCCGTTCACCCTGCCCGAGGTAGGGGCCCGTCACGCTGCCCCCCAATCCCCAGGCGCGGTGCTAGCGGCTGGGGGAAGGCGGGTGGGTTTGGATTGGAGCCTCCCCCGCGCCACGCTGCAGCCGTGGGGACACCGGGGTGGGGGGTGACAGATGATGGGTGCTAGACTTCGCCTGGGCTCTGTGCTGAGAAGTTTGCAGAGCTGGGGTGGGGGAGGGGATGGCGGAGAGCTAGGACTTGCTGCAGACTAGGGTCTCCCCCCATGTGCCTCCCATCTCACCCACCCCCCCTTTGCACGGGAAGGGCCGCGTGCGCTCGGACAGGAACGGTGCAAGGAGCCTGGCCCACAGGTTGGCGCGGGGAGGGGTGGGAGAGGGGGCGGCCCAGGGCTAAGCCTCGCAGCCCATCTGTCAGGTCCCCGGGACGGGGAGCCGCTCCCAGCCTGTCCCGGTGACCAGCTGCTGGGCTAGCTGGCTGCAGCCAGATGAGCGACACTTTTAAAGGGTGGAAACAATCCATTTTCCAAAGCGATCATTTAAAGCACTTAGGCAATTACACACTTAAGATTAGCGTTAATAATTCACCAGGACCGCGGCTAGCCCTGCGCCAGGGCTCCTCCACCCACCACCCCGCAAGGTGCGGGGACAATGGGGCTGCCAGGGATGGATCGGGGCTGGCGGCTCTGCTCTGCTCCCCACATGCCAGCACTGTGGCGCTGCTTGGGTTTCCTGTGTCTCTGGGGCTGATCCGGCTGCAGTAGAAATCCGGAGTGGCTCTGGAGTAAGAGGGCCTGATTCCCTCTGCCCATGGGTAGAAATCAGGAGTAACTCCCTTGACTTCAGGGATGAGTCTCGTTTCTCTGACACGGCTATAAATCAGCGGTGATTTCTCTTGAGGGGCTGGAGTTACAACCCAGCAGAATCAGGCCCCCTCTTTGAGTGACCAAAATACGTTTGCCTGTGGGTGAGAATCGTGGAACCGGCCTCCTCCCCCCTCCCGCCCCCTTTCCTTTTCCTCCTCTTTGGCTTCTTTGATCAGCCAGAATAAACAGCATACAAAAGCCCGCGAATGATCTGCTTGTTTGTAAAGAAGTTTATTTCCACATTTAAAAAAAGAGAGAGAGAGAGTTTTGTTTTGTTTTTCTTTTCTGATCTCTTTAAAGCCGAATTTTTCCTCGCAAAGTCCAGACAGGAGAACCCGGGAATACAGACTTACAAGAATCACTTACACAAATACGTCCTCGGGGTTCACAAATAAATAATTCATATACATTTTGCACACAAGTATTTACAATTTTTTTCTTAGTTACATACTTTTAAGAACTCTTGGGTTAGCATGAAAGGGCGCCTCTTACGCTACGTAACGCTGCGATCCGATAGGTGAGTTCCGAGCGGTTCATTATGGATCTGATTAGGGTACAGGTGTTGTATGTTTCATGTCAGCACATCCGGGACATCCCCCTACCTACCCCGATTCCTGCACAAGTAGAATTGTTACTTACAAAGGCCAGGACCGGATGCCCTAGCGCAAAGCCGGGCAAGGGGATGGCAGAAAGGAGAATGGATAATACGCCTTTGGGAACAAACAAACAACAATTAGAAGCCATGCTCAGGTGAGCTAGTTTATGTGCAAATACCTTTGCCTCATCCTCCCCAGTCCTTGTTCAGGCAAAAACCACTGAAGGCAGGTGTGTGTTTAGCATGAGGGAAGTCTTTCCTTCTTTCCGGGGAGTGTGTTTGTGACAGACACACGGATGGGTCACAGGTCATTTTTCAAATTATGTTCATTAAAAATAATAATCAGATTTATAACTAGCGATCGCCGTTCTGTACATAAGCCATCTCCCATCCCATGCATTGGGCTCATTGTTGGTCAAGTGGAAAGGGTTAATTAATCGTGAGCACGGTGCTAAAAGCTACTGCAAGGAACTGGAAACTCCAGCCTGCCCTGAAGTTGGCAAGGAGCTAGTCCTGTTGGTGAAATAAATCTTCAAGCCGCTATATAATTGGAACGCAGTAAATTTTTTGAGTGGAAACAAAACCTGGGATATTTTTAACTGCGTGTCTCTTGCACACAGAATCCTCAGGCATAACCCTCGTTTTGTAATTGATCCTTTAAAATGCAATGCGTCTTTTTTTTTTAATGGCTTAGATTAATTCAGTTCCTCTCTTCAAACTAACTCCGTCTGAAAGAGGAACGTTTCTGAATTCTGCAACTTGGGGAGATTCCTTATTTATTCGATCTTTGTGTATTCTCTGACCCGAAGTCGCCTTTTTGTGTGTGGCAAACTTTAGTGCTAGAAAGCGGGGGAGGAGGTAGAAAGGCCTCAATGGGCAAAAAGATTTTAAAAGGACCGAAACAACTGTGTGTGTGTGTGTGGGGGGGATTATACACCGCGGAGCGGTTTAATTCTGCCCCTCTATGTTTTTAAGGAGGATGATATTCTGCAATATTGAAGTGAGCTAATAGTCTCTGTGTCTGGGCCATCACAAAGACTCGTCTATTTGTGTGTTTCCTCATCGCGTGTCCCGTCCACCCACATCCCCGGTCCTCCTCCCCCAGTTTGAACATGAAGTTTGAATTGTTGTTTGTTGGGTTCCCTTTCTCCATTGCTAGGAAGGCGAGCTCTCACCCCCTTCCCGGTTAGGTAGCGCTGACCACTAACCGCATCGAAAGAGCGCGCGCGCAGGATTTTAGCGCAAAATGAGAGCGAGAGCGCGCAAGATTTTAGCGCAAGATGTTTTCGTTTGATGTGTTTTTCCTTTCCAAGTTTCTCTTGCTCCTTTAGGGTGAACGATGGTTTTGTGTGGTGGCTAGGCGGGTGTTGAAGTGCCAAGGATCTGGCCCGCCTCTCCCCCAGCTCGGTGTACAGTTTCTGATGGTCAGGACGGTCTACGCAAGGGAGCAGAGGGGGCCTCTTGGCTTCCTTGGCAGCGGACTTTGCTGCGGAGTCGGCGCTTCACCGCGGTTGAGCCGCTCGCGGAAGGACGCCTGCCAGGGGGGGCAAAGGTGGGGGCGGCTCGCTACCCCCCTGCAGTCCGTGAATGAGGATCCTGGGTACCAAAGGTCTCTGCAAAGCCGGGGGAGGGGCGCTGGGGCCCCGGTACAGATAGAGGGCCGCTCCTGGATCCAGGTTGGAGACCAAGCTCTGCGGGTAGAAATAGGGAGATGGGAACATTCGCTGGAGGGCCGAATAATTCCCAGCTTCAGCCAGTAGCTCCAGTCCCACCGCTGTCTGCCTCTTCCACTTGGTCCTGGGGAGGGAAGCCAAGATACGCGGGTCAGGAGAGAGCCAACATGTACAGAAAAAACAGCCCTGCGGGCCTCGTGCAGAGCCGGGGGTGCACCCGCGCTCCTCCGGCTGAGCAGAATTGCCCAAACCGCTGGCCTTCCACGGGCAAGAAACCTGAGCAACTCTCCAGCCCCGGTTCTCTCAGGAGCAGCCAAGCCCCTTGAGACCCATGCAGCCTGTCCTGCAGTCCCAGGTGGGAGAGAGTTGCAGCGCGCACCCCTGAAATAGTTTGGGTGAAAGCTGTGGAATCTCTCACACACTCCCACGCCTGTGCTGAACCGCAGGACAACACAATCCTTGATTTGACGATTGTTTCCAGAACCCAAATCCTCTTCCCGCAGCTATTTCTTTTCCCAGCGGCCAGGAACCAGGGTGGACTCCCTGGATGTTAACTTTGCGAATGTTAACGTGAAGTGTGGGGGACAGGGCAACTGACAAGAGTATTAATTGCTCTCTATTTATGCAAGCCCAGGGTGCTATATTAGAATAGTATGTTAGCAGTAGCATGCGAACTATGCAGTACGCGCATGTGTCTATTTTATCACATCTTGTGATCATGAGGTATTATTATTATTATTATTTTATTATATTTTATTAAGCGACAAAGAGTCCTGCGGCACCTTATAGACTAACAGAAGTATTGGAGCATAAGTTTTCGTGGGTGAATACCCACTTCATCAGACGCACCATTATATATAATATAATAATTATTTTATGAGTTACTCACAAGTATATAATGTATCAGATATGGTATGCCTGATACCATTTGCCTTAGCTGGAAAAATATATTCAGGCAACTGGTATCCGACATACTCTCTGCTATATTGCGTGTGCAATAATAATATGTGATCACAACACATGATAACATGTAACTGCACATACGCTGATCTATAGTGATTGGAAACATCCATCTCTAATTTGCCAGCTCAGGCAGGTGATGATCTAATCTATCTATCTATCTATCTATCTATCTATCTATCTATCGGATGTTAGCATATGTGATGATCACATGCTAAGATAGAATTATACACACTCCTGAATAGTTCGGCACTATCTGCACTCTGATATTTGAATTCTTATTGGTTTCTAATCAGGGCGCTGTGTTATTAAAACTTTCACACAAGTACCTGAAAATCACTTAAACACAAATTAAAGCTGTGTTTAAAAAGTTCAGATTTCAGGTAAAGCTAGAAAGAAGATTGAATTCGTGCAAGGTCTTTTGGAAATCTGGAGAGAGAAATAGCACCTGAAATGTTTATAGCAGCATTAGGAGTTTAATTGAAACCAAATAAATAACCCTAAACGGGGAAAATAAACTCCCACAAGATTTGTTCTTGTCCCCCCCAAAAAAATATAAAAAACAAATGTTGTGATCGATTTCTAAATGGCAATATTAAAGCATTGATCAGAACTGCCCTGAGAAATACCCACATCACTTTCTCTTTGGGGATGGGAAATAGTTGGCTAGTTGGGAGATTTTATGTAAGAACAGAGCAGCCCCTCCAAGGAACACGCGACGCAAGGGTGAAGGCGGGACGCACTTTGACTAGGCAGCGGGTCATGCTGAAACCCAGGCGTGTTTGCTGCTGGTTGTGTGGCGATGACGCTTATGCTCCAAGCAATGACCAGGGCCGGGGTCGGAGGCCGGGACGCGCACGCCGGGGCGGGCGGCGCGGGATCAGCTGAGCGCATCAAACGTCTCGCGCCTTTGGCAGTTTTGTCGCTGATGCGCTAGACCTATTTCCACCCTTAAATTATTCATCATAATAATAATTGTGTAATTACTGTAACGGGCGTTAATTATTGATGCCCGGGATTTATTATTCATGGGCCGATGTGTTGTGCTGTTGTGTTGATCGAAAAGTGCGTTTCTTCCTTTTTTCCTGGACGGTTGTTTGCGGGGGGGATTCTTTGGCTGCCTGAATGGGGGGGCTGGGAACAGGACCCACCAGGATAGCACCCGGGGGGGGGGGGCACAGGAGGCAATTGTTGTTGGTGTTTTGTTTTTTAAGCAAGTAACTATCACAAGGAGACTAGGAAGGCACGTGTTGCTTCCCTAGACCGCGGCGTCGCCTGGTGTGAAGGTTGCTCAGGGCTCTCTGCCTTTCCAGCCCCGTGTGCCCCTGGCAGGGCGGTTCATCTTCATCCTTATTATCCAGCCGAGGGGGGGGGGGTTTCTGCTTTCACGCAGACCCAGGTATTGTCACCCATTGCACCCCCACCTATGTAGTCACCCGGCTGGTATTTGGGGCCAGGGCTTCCGGGGCTCGCGTTTTTCATTGTGATTTTATGAGGAGTCCGTTCTAGGAGCGGCTTCCAAACTGCCTCCTACTGTTGGGTCGGGCCCGATCCTGCGCTGCTTTGGAGACCCCTTGAAATCAAGGGGAGGGGGGTTCATGCAGGGTTACCCTTGGGCTACCCTTCGGGGGCAGAGTTCTTGAGTAGCAAAGTGACCCAGGAAGTTTGTCTGTCTGCACGTGGGTCAGATTCGGTCCAGGCCAACCCCCTTTTCTTGGCGCCCAGCCAGGCTGCTGGTCGGTCCACGGGTGGATTTCCTTGGCTCTCGCTCGGAGAGGTTTTGTTTGAAAGATAAGGGTCTGTCTGTCTTCTGTGGCTGCTATTTTTAAACCTGCCAAAGTGGAGGCGTCCGGCGGCGTCCGCAAATCTCCGCTGTTCACTGCCACGCCGCGGCAAGGAGCGGGCCGCTTTCCCCCGCCCACCCCCTCGGGCCTGGCCTTTGCAGCCTGCATTCAAACCCATCCTTTTACCTTTACCCAATAAAACCGCGCTGCAGCCTCTGGGCCTCGCTCAGCACCGCTGTCTTAGCTGCTCTAGCCCGGGCCCTGGCACCCCAGCTAACTGTGTGTCCCCTCCCCAGCCTTTCAAAACTTCCCGTTCGGATGCGCTGGGAAACCTGGGGGCTTTCAGGGACTCTCTTCCAAGCCACTTCCTAGTGGGTGGGTTTGGGAAAGCCCTGGTGCATCTCTGCGGGAGCTGCTGTGGGCCCAGAGGCTGCCCCCAGAACTCCCCTGGGCGGGTGGGTGGGGGAATCCGGGAGATTTGCACTGTGTTGCCTTTACCTTCTGTTCTGGTACCACGTTTTCACTTGGGTGTCAGTGAGGTTGAGGGAGGCCGCCAGCTCCATCCTGTCCTGCACGCTCAGGTATTTCTGCCTCTCAAAGCTCCGCTCCAGCTGCGCGAGCTGGTGATCGGTGAAGGCGGTGCGAGCTTTGCGGGGCTTTTTCAGCCTCACCGGGGGGCTGTCCCTGGAGCTGGAGATTTCTCGGTCCCCTTCTTCTTTCACTAGAGGGGGAGAAAAAATGCACGTCGTGTCAGGACAGAAAGAGAGGGGATACAAAGCGGCGCAGGGTTGCTTCCTTGCAGGAGCAGAGAGGCTCAGGCAGAGAAAGAAATAAGTCTCACACCCACACCCACACCATTGTTTTGCAAATGCAAGCGGGCGAGTCTGCCCTGAGTTTTGCCTTTTCTCCTAGGCCCTGGTTGTTCTGTGATCACTGCCGCAGTTTGGCTCTGGGAGGTTGGTGATGGGATTCGAATGTGATGGCGCTCGGAAGGAAGGTAATGCAGAAGAAGTTGGAAAAATAAGAGCAAATGCTGGGCATGACCGGATATGAGAATAGTAACCAATGGTACATGTTTCGTTTGAATACCAGAGATGCAGTTCGAAGAGAGAGAGAGAGAAAATTCCTGGGGGAAAGGCTGATATAGATATAGATATATAGATACATCCCGGATTGACCCGTATTTTGTCTTTTAGTAGAAATCCTAATTTTTTAAAAAATAATTCTCTTTGATTGAGTTCCTTTACATTTCCTCCTCCGCTGTCATGTCTGACAACGGAGTTTCCCCATCCCCTCTAGATTTCCCCCAGTCAATCCAACCAATGTTATTGCAATGATGGATTGGTTTATTCTTGTACAGGAAAAATCAAGTGTGGGAGGGAATCTGGATTGGCTGACCATAAAGTTGAGGCGCTGTAGATTCTTTGTTAGTGTGGAGCTTGTTAGCGCTGCCTACTTTTTAATTCGTGTAATGCGTAAAAAGAGCCACTTTTCACTGACAAATTATTGTTAATATACTGCAAAGAAATGCATCTGTATCTGCATAGGGCAGATGGCGCACAGACATAAGACAAATGGAATTCTTAAAGGGGTAGAAGGAAATATTTGAGAAGTGGTGCTGTGAGGCCGTGCTTTTGCGATGATTTAACTTTTAAAATGCCTAATGAGATGTTTTCTTGATGGTTCATTAATGCAGGAAAGTCTCTGTTTCTATAATATACATACAAGCAGATCAATATATTACAGAGACGCTGATGGCTAGAAAGAATGATTTACACCAGAAAACATCTGTACTAGATTGGAAAATCTAAGCAAGAAAAGCTCTGGTTTTTTCCCCCCCTCCTTAAAGAGATTATGTAACAAAAAGCTTCAGTTTATATAAATTGGCTGCATTAGGTTTTTACAGGGGTTTATGGTAAATTTCATTGTGAAAGGTTTTAGAAGTGACAGGGCTGTAGTTGAATGCGAGTTGATTTCTCTCTGTAGGAAGACAATAATCCGGTTAATTGAGCCACCAGGGAACGAAACCCTTCAACCAGAAATCCAGAATCTAGCAGACCAGCTAGAGACCAAACCCACTGAATAGCTCTTAAACATGAGTTTCTGTTTCATTTATTGGCGAAACAAACACCTACCCCCCCCCATCTTCGCCCCCTCCAAAAATAAAATAAAATATGGGCTGTGGAACCAGTAGCCTGTGACTTCTGCAAAGATGATAGTTTGGAAAACACCCTTTCAATGGAATCTTCACGATGTTTATTTCAGGTCTCAGGGTGAAGCGATCGGGGAGAAACTTTGGGGATTATTTGATTGGTCATTAAAGTTATTGCAGAGGTAGCTGGATTTCCTTAGACGTCCATTGGAATTTGGGGGGCAGGATCTGAGCCAAACATTATTAAAGTTTGGACTTCGAAAAAAGTTAATTGGTAGAAAGAGAGAGAGAGAAAAACGACAGTTTGGAATCGATTGTTCTCCCGGCTTCCCAGAAAGCCCTGTTTAGCCACTGAACTTCCCTTTGGATGTCAGTCCAACTGAATACAAAACAGTTTCTCTGATTTCCTCTACGACTAGTCAACACAGCTTCAAAAAAGGTTTAGCCCATTATTTAGATGAGGTGAGGAAGGTAAAATAAAACACCTTTCTTAACAGCTATTTCTTTGAAAAGCTGGCTCGGTTATTAAGGGCGTTTTTCTTATACATATCAGGGTTTTTTTCCACCTCACTTTAAAAAGCTTATGGTTTGGCTACATAGAAACTCATGGGAAGCGTTTGTTTTTCATCTGGGCTCAATCCTGAAACCCTAAGGAGCAAAGTGTGCCCGCACTTTTTAAACAAAAATCTCCCATTGAAGTCGGTAAACTCTGCCTGTAAAGCTATGGCATAATAGAGCCCTCAGTCCTTATTCAGGCTTATTTAAATCCATGGGAAAGACTGACTTAAAAACGGAGTAAGGGGCCCTATCTTTGGCAGCGGGCCTTATATTTTTAAACAATTAAACAACTAGTTGCTTGTTACCATTTGATGCATTAAATGTATTTCCGTCCAGCTGTACTTTATTCGAATGTGAACAGGCTACGAGTTTCTCCTGGTAGGGAAGGGGAAAGCCGGCCTTGACTGCGGACTTCGCCTTGCACTGAGGAATGGCTGGTTAGTGCTGGTTGCCTTTTATTAATTATTATTATTGTTAATTATTATATATGATTTAATCGCTTACTATGAAATGCAATTTGTCAGCTCCCGCTTGCAGGCAGCCTGGCTTTGATAAGAAATATTTCGTGGTAAAAATTGGTTTGAAACATTTCCTGTTGAGGATCAAATCTCTCTCTCTAGTTCATATTTACTGCTTTAGGGGAGTTACAAGAGTGCCCTTATTTTTCTACCTAGTTTCTTTCGCAGCTTGGCAGTTTTGAAAAGAGAGACAGGATTTACAAATAAAGAAAAAAAAGCTGGTAATGTCGACTTCCATTTGATCACCTTCCTTCAAAAGACTGGAATCAATTTCTGTTCCTTCCCAGCCCAATTTCTGTTCCTTCCCATTTCGCTTCGGCTTATTGTGCGAGGAATGAGAATATAAAACGCAGCTTCATTTGGGCATATTCAAAAAGTTTCTGCCTAAAATATATTTTTAAAGAGGCACATTTCCCTTACTTCTCCATGAATGAATTGAATGTTTAGTTGTTGCTGTTGGTTTTTTTTATCTGATGTAAAATAGAGGATGGGAATGAATGATAATTAAAATGGTAAGGTCAATGGGTAAAACATTTATGAAGAAAGATACAAATAAAGAAGCAGCCAAGCAAAGAAGATCAAAGTTCTCCACTTCCAAGGAAATTCAGGCCTATTTTTACCACCTTCCTTTTTCTTTCTTTCAATCACCCATAAATACAATATGCAGAAATTAGGAATGTCTGCAGCAGAAATCTTATTCTGCCTGATGTGCCAGTGTGCATTATTGCAATCAGAGCGGCGCAGACTTCAAACGGCCGCTTTGAAATGATTTGATCCCTGGTGGACGTTGTGCAGAGGTTAGAACTAGCTATTCGTAATGTTTCCGCGTTAAAAGTTTTAAAAGAAAGTGCGAGAGACCGAATACACTTGCAAGGATGCACCACCATCAGACACCCCCACAGGGGTTATACAATGTCCCTCTCAATAACGTGAAGTTAAAATCCCAGGCTCCTGCTCGTGTTTTTCACTAAGGATTAGAAGAATCTCTTTCTCTTTTCATGGTGGAGTTTACCCACATTTGTACAGCTTGGTAATATAGCTGATCCGCCCCGAACGGATTGGAGGTGAAATTAATTCTGATCACCCTGAAGTTATTTAAATAATGCCGTTATTTAAAAAAAAACGCACAGCTCCCCTGCATATCTAAAAGCGAACGGATACATCTAAACGGCGGGGCAACCATTTCTTTCGGGCTCTTTTAATCTGGAAGTCGTTGGAAAGCAAAATTCCAAGAGTCTAAAGGTTAATTCTCTATGCGCGATGTACTAGTCAATTACCCTCTGAAATACAGACTGAAATTGCTAAAATAAAATATATAAATGGAGTCCTTGGGCATATACCGCTCGTGTGATTCATAATTATTCAGATCTTGACGGGGCAAGGAAATTCTGCGGGTTTAATCTAAGGAGCGGGTTCATTTGTATTTTTTTCTCCCCAAGTAATTGTAATATTCCTCAATCCGATGCTATAAATCCCCATCCTCACCCCACTAATTAAAGTTCCGCCTGATTGTTTTAAACTCAAGCTTTGTGACGTTTTCATTATTTATCCCTGATTTCTGGACTGTCGCAGGTGTAAAGAATCCACCCAGACACAACCTACGGGAGCACTAGCAAATCGAGATTCACCCCCGCAAGAAATAACAGGGAACCAAATCTCACTCCCCCCCCCCCGATTCTTTTCCCAGGGACAGAGGGCAAACGCTTTCTTGGATGGGAAGGGGGAGTGCAGGAAATGTCAGGCTCTTTAAAATGCCTTCACAGCAGAGCAAGGAGTGGAAAGAAAGGCTGGAGGGATGTTTTGAAAGCAAGGCATGTGGCAGCGCTAATCGCTGGCTGGGGGCAGCTGGTCAGTAGCTGGGGCTCTCGCCTCCCCTCGGTTCTTACCTTTGTACTCCGAGTCCGACGAGGCGTTGCTGTTACTTTTGTCCATTTTCTCTCGAAAGTCCTCCCCGGGTTTGGCGGGGATTCGCCCCGCCGGCTCCGGGCCGCTCTGTGCATTGGTGCTAGAGTAAGGCGCGCAGGCTGCCAGGGGCTTGCAATCGGCTAGGATGTCCCTGATTAGGAAAGACGAGGTCACTGTTCTGGATTGGGAAGGAGCCGAGCCCTGCCCCGGCTGGAGGTGAGATTCCAAGCCCACGGCCACCCCTTGCCTGGGGGCCACCGCCTCCAGGCATTCCTTCCCCGGCGAGTGGGGAGACGGGCACCCGCTGCTGACTTCGGAGCCGGGGCTTAGTTCCAGGGGGGACCTGCATTCCCCCATCAGAGGGTCTCCTTTGGGCACCGCCGGGCTCCCCGCTCGGTGGGACAGGATGGAGTCGATCCCAAATCCGTTGGAGCCTTCCATAGCCAGGCTCGTCCCCCAGCCCGAGCCGTTCGCTCACACCCGGCACCTTTCAGGCGGACATGGGCCGGCAGTCCGGACCTGGCGGGGGAGGGTGGGGCTGGGACAAGGCAAAGTTCAGCCTGGGATCCAGGGGGCCAGTTGACCAACAATTCCCGGGGGCGCGGTGCATTAAATCCACGGCTCAGCCCTTCTGCTTCAGCATCCCAGCCAGCTGCGTTCAGGGGAGAGACAGACAGACAGGCAGAAAGAGGAAAAGGATTAAAAAGTCAAAGTTTGCTTGGGGGACCCCCCCTCGATTTAATCCTAACTCTACCCTCCCTCCCCCAATACATGATCAGTTCTGAACTCCAGCGCCCGCAGGTTGGAGGGGGAGGGGGGAAAATCGATCCAAGGGGGTTTTCAGCGCCGTAACTAGGTAATAATTCAAAAATCAATGTGGGGGGAAGGGGAGGTGGGTGTTAAGGGAGGGGGGTACCCTGCCAGCACCTCGGCCGGATCCTGCTTGGGAGATCAATAATCGGGCTGGTCCAACGACGCAAGGCTGGATGGAGATTTCAGCACCTCTGAAAGCGCCTGGCTGAGCGGCTGGGAGCGGCTGCACCCATGGTGTCGAAGCGGTTGGGTCGCCCGCCTGGAGACGGACGGGGCGGTCTGAGCGCGGCTCGGTTTCAGCACCTTGGACAGAGGCACCGGCAGGCTCGACCCGCCGGCTCCGCTGGTGACACGTTCCCCTTTTAAAAAAACGAACTAGTGTCACTTAACTTTGGGTTGTTTCTTCTTCTTCTTTTTTAAGGTGCCGGGGCCACGTGTCTGAGCATCCGCGCTTCTCATTGGCTGGGGTGCTTTTTGGGTGATGTCACACACTGACTAAGGAACCTGATCTCCTTTCAGTTTGATTAAAAGAGACACTGAATTAATTACAGCCCAGATCCAACTGTTTACAGGCAATTTCCACCCTGTTTGCTTTCATTACACCATTGATGAAGCTCTTAATGGGGTTATTACCAATAGGGGGTAGGCCTGGGTTGATGTGGGGGGGGGTTGTGGGTTTTTTAACTTTTGCTTTTTCCACAATTAACTGAATCATTAGTTCCCCTCACGCTGAGAAAGTTTTTCTGCATGTTTAAAAACAAAAAACCCCGGACGAATGATTTAAATGTGCTCTCAATGCCGAAGCCGACAGGAATAGTAAGACCCCCCCCCCTTCTTCCCATTTAAATAGCTTTTAACAAGGACGAAGTTGTAATGTTTTAGTGATTTATTTGTAGATTTATCAGACTCTCTTTCCTTCAAACCGATTTTCGTTCTTTTTTTATTTAAAAATTCTTGCTCCGTTGCCGGGCTCTGTCTAGCGAAATGTTTATTTGCTTTTGATGGTTTTTTTTTTAAGTAAGATAGCGCTAAAGGTTGAAAAGTTAGAAATAAACCCAGAACTGTAATAGACCCGTAAATCGAGCAAAGGGCAGTAGAGGAAATAATAATCAAGTAGGAAACAGATCCAGATCAGGATTATCTAGCTTTTAATGAGACACGTATCCCATCCATCAGGTAGGAAGAAATAGCATACAAAGGCAGGTTTATCCTACTATGGAGTAAATGTAACAATCGATAGAATCGCGCGTGGGTGGTTCTCCTCACTGTCCATGCTAAAGAATTCAGCTGGCTTGGCTTTTCCTGCCCGTCTCAACCCTTCCACAAAAACCCACGAGGGAATGGGGCCCCATTTCTGGTTGAAATGATCTCCACGGCGGAGCGCTCACCAGCGCTCACTCTTTCCTCGCCCGAGTTTTCGGTTCAGGGGAGGCGAAGATGCTGTATCTCAGCCTCTCAAACTTCCAGAAATGCAGATGAAATAAAGGGATGGGGGGGGGGTGTTGCATTTAGGTGAGAACTCTCAGGGGGTTCCCTCCACCCCTTTCCTGGAACCACTTCCCTTCCTATTTCCCCAAGAGAAACGAACGATTTTTTTTCTTAGTTTTTGGAGCTCTTTAAAAAAAAATCTCCAGATTTCCGAAGATTTGTAAATCGCTGTCTCTAGTTTAAGGGGCTAAGGATACCAATCGGAACGGAGTTTGTAATTAATTCAAGTTACTCCCTGGCAATGCAACTGGGAGAGCTTCCAAGCCCCTTGGCAGGTATACACCCTTCAAAGGTTTGTAGACAAAGCTGGCGGGCTGTCCGTTCATCCAGGTACTTATATGTAGAAGGTTTTGTCGTTTCTGACGGGTCTTTTGCCCCAGCCTGGTATGTTACACTGAGTGATGAACAGCCCCTCGCCACAATGGCAGGGAACTGCGTGGATCTGTCTGTACAAAGTTTTGTTATTTCTAAAAATCTCCCCCCCACACACCTCTCATTTTTTATTTATTTTCCTCCTCTTCGCCTTTCGCCCCTTCCATCCAGGCGGCTGCTGGCTCTTGTCCCTCTTCCAAAGATCCCCTTGGCCAGCAGCTTGGAAGCGGGCAATGCACCGAGCTTCGGGACTGCAGAAGTTGCGCCTTGTCCCCAGAGAGGCCCGAACGCGGCTGCCAGCTGTCACAGAGGGGCAGACCCTGCCAGCACTTCCAGGACTTGCCCCTGGAGTCCTGGGTCGGACTTTGAGCCTAGTCCTCCCCCCAGCACACGCTCCCCCCATTTCCAGGCTAAAGATTTTCCTTCTCCTCCGCTTTCAAGAACAAAACCAAAGCAAACAAACAAAAAATCTAGGGACGATTCTTAGCGCATCCTTCCCCTGCAGGGAGGCCTTACCCCTTTTAACTGTGCTGTTCAACGTCGCTTCAGCGATGCTCAGCCCGGATCCCCCCTGACCCGGGTTAGTAGTAAGCACAGACTTAATGCTGCCCATCCCTGCCACCTCTGAAATTGACTCATGCTATGAAATGGTCAGCTAAAACCCAGGCACCTTACGCCAGCTCCCGAGAGGAGGCAACTGTCCCCTTCTGTTTGCATATGGAGTTCTGCTTTGGGGCTGGCGAACCGCTGCCTTTAGCCTCCACCTTGAAATCGAGATTCCTCTGCCAACAAGCGCCAGGATTTTAGATACGTACATGTTCTCTTTTATTATTGTTTTTCCCCCCTCCCCAGTTTCCTCCCTCCCAGCCAGACTCAGCACACCAGCCTGGGGGGAACGAAAGCACTCTCTTGAAGTTAGTTAAGGAAATCTTGCTGTTAATCTGGTTAATTTCTTTCCCCCTCGTTTTTAACAGAAAGGTGTTAGTGCTCTCTGCGCAAAGTCCATAAGAGCCTTGTTTTAAGGGGCATATCATTCCATTAGCATCTTCCTGCCTTTGCCCCGTTTTAACCAGAGCCAGGCCACGTTGCAGTCACTCAGCCCAAAGTCCTTACAAAGGTGTGTGTGGCGGGGTTAGGGCTTCATTTGACACGTTTCAGTTCTAACTGTACATCTGAAGTTGCCTTTTTGAACCGCCGCTAGATTCATGGGGCTGATCGAAAGCCCAGGGAAGTCCAGGAAAAGACTCCAGTTGACTATCAGGCGTCTGGCTCCATCCCAACCCCTTGGATCATTGCAAAAATCTCTCTGCCGGGGGGAGTTTAGCGTTGATACAAGTTTGGGAATGTGCAGGGCCTCTCCCAGCAGAACTCAGCCCCTCATCAGAGCCCCGACCCCACTGCTTTCTCCCTGGCGGCTCTAAAGGTGGGTTTGAGTCGGTTGCCCTTTTTAACACGGGGCAGGGCACAAGTTTGGGAAAGCTTCCGCCGGGTTCCACCTGCCCCGAGGAGACAGGATTTTAAAAGGTATAACTAACTAATTAACTAACTAAGAACAATGGGGTCCAAGGGAAGAGGCAGTTTTGTGTAGTTTAAAACCGGGGGAAATAGACAGAGGCGGCTCATAAAAGCTCTTTGCATTTCTGGGTAATCGCCCATGATTAGCTGTGCTAGTGTCTCTCTCCCACGGCACTGGTATCCAAGCACAATAAGTAGCCAGGACTTTAGCCTCCCCCAGACAGAATCGGGTTAAGCAGATTTTTTTTGATTTAGTGACCGCGTTCACTGGATCGGGTTGATCAGAAACATCCTAATCGCCTCGTGGCTTAATTCTTTAGCTAAACCACGCAGCCTCCAGAGTGGCTGGAAACATTTTCACTTTCCTCTGATTATTTTCCATTTGCTCAATTTCCCCTTAGACAGAATAACTCGGGCTCCGGGAGCTCTTCCTAGCAGCCCAAACCCAACAGCCTTTCGGAGGCAGTTTTGTTTTTGCTTCAGGTTAGCTGTCAGGACAATGCAGTAGGTAATTGTCTTTTCAGATGTGACAGGGCACTTTACAAAGCAGTTCCCCAAGGGCTCTACATCTAATGTTGCTAACAACAACAACAACAACAACAACAACATACCATTAATATTTTTGTATTAATTAATGCTCAGTTTAGGGCGGGAGGGAGGGAGGAAATTAATTATAGGGAACGTTGTGAAATTGGAGCCTCAAGTTGTCACGTTGTATTTACTGGTAAAATACCAACGTTAAACTGCTTTGGTAAGGTTCCCAGGTAATGCAAGCTCGGAGGCTTTCAAAGTCCATCATAATCTGTCATCTACATTTCATTATTTTTTGGGAGGAAATGACTACATGTAGATTTATGTTCATGCTTTTCAGAGTTTTTAAACAGTACACTAGGAAAACGACTATTCTGCAGTCTCACTGGAATGAGGAGAGTTGATTTTAAGCTCTTTGCAGCAGGTTGTGTCTAAGGTTTTGAAAGGAGGGATTAGATTTCTGTCTGGGTTTGGAACCTCTTCCTTTAACCTTCTACTAACCAGTCACTTATGGTAAATGGTACTGGCTGTAAATCAGTTCTGTGGGGCAGGGACTGGCTTTTGGTTGTGTGTTTGTACAGTACCAATCACAATGGGGTCCTGCTCCATTGCTAGATCTGCTGGGTGCTACCTCATTAATAAATACATACATATAATTAATGCATTAATATACATAAAGAATCCATGTTATGTTATGTTATGCCAGATTTAGTCTCCCAAAGATTTGAACACATGCCTAGCTTTGCCCATGTGAGTAGTCCTATTGACTTCAATTAAGTATTAATTAATTAGGATTTTGACTTCAATGAAACTAATCAGCGTAGGCATGTGCTTACGTTTTTGGAGGATCTAGACTTTTCACTGGCTCTACCTTCTAGCTGAATCTGGCACTGGGGGAGCCAATGCTGTGAAATAGATTTAGAAGAACTGAACACCGG